GAGAATCTATGTGTGAGGCTCAGTTCCGCTGTTTAATTGCGGCCTCAGCGCTCCAGGAGAATCCACAGTTAGCACAACAAACCACAGGTGTTTCTTTGTCTCGAAGGCAACGCGGCGGAGAGTGGAGTGTGACATCCATGACAGGTACCGTGTCCCAGATGGCAGCATTTCAAAAGTTGGTCCCACTTCTTTACCGAGGAGCTGGCAAAACGCAGGGTGTGTTTTTATTCACTAAAATGTATTCTATAACCTTAAAAATACAGAATTTTGAATATGTAATATTCATGTACCTAGCCAGAGATATGGATGACATCATCAAGGGACTAATTAATTCAGATGGAAATGTCTGTTCTGAAGTGATGGATATATTGTCATTAATTTGAAGCCCACTCAATATAGCAGATAGGAACAATACAGCTAATTTATTTTACGAAGTAAATGAGACCAGATGGTTTTTGTCACTGTGACAGGAGTCTTTTGTGTTATATTCCTCAGCAATTTGACACTGTATTTGTCCTGTGGATTATATTGTACAGTAAATCATACTAAAAGTATTAGGGAAATATGAAACATTAACCTTTTTCATAGCCTGGGTGTCATCATCTGAAAAATGTCTCCTGAACACAATGTAATTACTGTATGCAGGTACTTCATGTTACCTCTATTTAAAGGTTGCAATGAAATTATATCACCATAACTAACACAAAACTCACCCAAGAACAAAAAAAATCACTCAAGAAAGGTTATTTAGCCACTCTCTCAGGAACCATATTTCACAAAGTGAGCTTTATTATTGTTACTGCAGCCTCACATTCGCCTTTCGGCCATTCCGGTGTTTTTATGTTTAGTTGTCTTAGTTTATTGTTGATTGATCATATTTTTTGTTCTTGCACATCCAGATTTGAAACGAAAGTTTATATAGAGTTCATGGCAGACTGAGGTGGTGGTCCCAGTCTTTACGAAAGGGGACCAGGATGTGTTCCAACTTCAGGGGGATCAGACTCCTCAGCCTCCCTGGGAAGGTCTATGCTGGGGTACTGGAGAGGAGGGTCCGTCTGCTGGTCAAACCTCAGATCCAGGAGGAACACTGGACCAGCTCTTCATCCTCACAAGGATACTGGAGGGTTTGTGGGAGTTTGCCCAACCAGTGTACATGTGTGTTGTGGACTTGGAAAAGGCGTATGATCGTGTCCCTCAGGGGGTCCTGTGGGGGGGGGGGGTGTTCCTGTTGGACTCCATCAGGGCTGCCCTTTGTCACCAATTCAGCCAAGGGGAGCCTGATGCATCTTTGCTTTATGCAGATGATGTGGTCCTCTTTTTCAGATGATGTGATCCTCTTTTTCAGATGATGTGGTCCTCTTTTTCAGATGATGTGGTCCTCTTTTTCAGATGATGTGATCCTGTTGGCGTCATCAGGCTGTGACCTGCAACATGCACTGGGGCGGTTTGCAGCTGAGTGTGAGGTGGCTGGAAAGAAGATCAGCACCTCCAAGTCTGAGGCCATGGTTCTTGAACAGAAAAGGGTGGATCGCCCTCTACTGGAGGGGGAAGGGTCACTGGCTCAAGAGACGGATCGGTACAGTGTCGGCCATGATGTGGATGATTTACCGTTCTGTTTTGGTGAAGAGGGAGCTGAGCCAGAAGGCAAAGCTCTCAATTTACTGGTCGATCTACATTCCTACCCTCACCTGCGGTCATGTGCTATGAGAATGAGATAGTGGATAGAAGCGGCCGAAGTGAGTTTCTCTGCAGCGTTTCTGGGCTCAGCCTTAGAGAGGGTGAGGAGCTCAGACATTCAGGAGAGGCTCAAAGTAGAGGTACTGCTCCTCCACGTCGAAAGGAGCCAGCTGAGGTGGTTCGGGCATCTATCTCGGACGCCTCCTGGACGGCTCCCTGGGGAGGTGTTTCGGGCATGTCCAACCGGGAGGAGACCCTGGGGCAGACCCAGGACACGCTGGAGAGATTACCTGGGAACAGCACGCTGGGCTGGCCTGGGAATGCCTTGGTATCCCCTGGGGGAGCTGGAGGAGGTGGCTGGGGAGAGGGAGGTCTGGGCATCCCTGCTTAGACTGCTGCCCCCCCTGAGCTAACTTTGGAGAAGCGCTGGAAAATGGATGGATGGAATCTTATGCACAAAATATATTCTGCAAAGGACTAAACAAACCAGAAAGAATTGGATATTCATGTTAACTTAAAACTCATTTATGCAGCTGGGAGCATTACATTAAAAAAAATGAATGAATGTTTATGTATCGTCTGTAAGTGTTAGATGCTACACTCCCGGTTATGCTACTGAAATGGAAGCCTAAGTTCCACACATGCTAAACGCTATCTTGCAGGATACAGGCAATTACTAAAGCATCACTGAAACCAGTTTAAAGGTCATACTGGAGAAAATGTCAAGGACCCTGCTCTTCACTCCAGCAGTACCAAAACCACTATCAAATATGTTCCTTTAATTAGATATATATTACCACATAAATCAAAAATCATAGTATTTATTTGTTCTTATTAGTAGTAAATTACATCTGCATAAACTTAATATCCTGACCAAGATTTCACAGGTAGCTTTACAGACTAATTAGCTTTCATAGAGTGCTCATTTGGCTCTCCAATAAAACCAGATAAAGATTTAATTGTGGAACTTGTCATGTAGTGTCATGCAAGCCCAACATCAAACACGTAATTACATAGGTCCATGTTTTAAAAATTGTGATGTCTTTCAGAGCTAATAAAGCTATAGTCTAAGGCACCATTTTTGTTTGGCATTCACAGACGACCTACTTAATTTCATGACACATTTGGAATAGCGATTCAGACATCAAGTGTCACACTTGATATCTGCATGGATGTTCCCATGGTGACAGATGAATAATCTGATTAGCCTTTTACAGATAGCTGGGATGAATAGCAGCCTCTGCTTCACACATGACCAAGGACTTGGCTGTTGATTAGTACACTGGCTCAGGAGACCCAACTTGAATCCACTCCATCAGCATGAGAAGGTGTTCTTTAAATACTTTCTGTGTTTCATACTGTCCACATACACTCACTGGCCACTTTATTAGGTACACCTTGCTAGTACTGGGTTGGACCCTGTTTTGCCTTCAGAACTGGCTTAATTCTTCATGGCATAGATTCAGCAAGCTGCTTGAACCATTCCTCAGAGACTCTGGTCCATGTTGACATGACCAAACATCAGTGTCCCCTGACAGCATTATGTAGCTGCTGCAGATTTGTCAGCTGCACCGTCATGATGCGAAGAAATTCTGAGCCTACCATCTGGATACTGCAGTAGAAATCGAGAATCATATAACCAGGCAACATTTTTCAAATCTCCCAGTGTCCTGTGCCCACTGTAGCCTCAGTTTCCTGTTTGTAGCTGACAGGAGTGGCACCCGGTGTGGTCTTCTGCTGCTGCAGTTCATCTGCTTCAAGGTTTGATGCACTGTGCATTCAGAGAGGCTCTTCTGCATACGTTGGCTGTAATGAGTGGTTCCTTCAGTTACATTTGCCTTTCTATCAGCTTGAACCAGTCTGGCCATTCTTCTATGACCTCTGCCATCAACAAGCCATTTTTGCTCAAGGAACTGTCACTCACTGGATGTTTTTTTCTTTTTCAACCCTCTGTAAACCCTAGAGATGATTGTGTGTGAAAATCCCAATAGATCAGCAGTTTCTGAAATATTCATAGCAGCCCATCTGGCGCCAACAACCAGGCCACGTTCACAGTCACTTAAATCACCTTTCTTCCCAGTTCTGGTGTTTCATGTGAACATTAACTGAAGCTCCTGACCTGTATTTGTATGATTTTATACATTGTGCTGCTGACATATGATTGGCTGATTAAATATTTGTGTCAGGGAGCAGTTGAACAGGAAAACCCGAGTGTAACAGGTACCAGCTACAAAAAATTGATATTTGGTTCTTTTGTGTAAATACAATTACACTGGGACACAAAGATGAGACTCACCACTTTGACTCACATCCCCAAACTTCCTTGGGGCAAAATCATTGTGGGTCCAATTGGACGTAAATAATTGACTTTGGCAGGGTTTTCAAAGTGTCCTCCTTGATCCCTGTTTAAAGTAACATCGAACAGCTTAAAACAAGACTATTTCATGCTGGCAAGGCGGACTGTGCATTCTGAAGCCATATATGATGTGCAGATATTTGATATCATCCATATTGTATATACTATAGAGAAATGATTCAGACAACAAAAATAATTAACTCATTAATTCCCCTGGTTTGAGTAAAAGTATTTTTAACTCAACAGATCTGTAAAACCATCAGTGATTTTTAGAGTTGTTTTTATTAGTAGTTCTTCAAGCCTTTGTTTCTGAAAAATACAGAATCCACCTTCTTACAGTGATTTTTTGCATCTGTTTTACTTTATGCCACATTTTGATTTGTCAGTATGATTCCAACCCAAAGTTGCTTTTTTTTCTTTATGTAACGCTTGGCATTTTCACCAAAAGACTGTAAATGATTAGTTGCTTCAACATGAATCATCAACCAACCTGAAAATACCTGAGCATAAGGACATAAGACTCGATGTATCAACAGACAAATTCATCATGATGCTCACTGGGTTTCATGTCAAATTAACAACCTTAATTTGGGTTACTTGGTAAACCCAGTGCCACAATTTAAGTAAAGATAACGTGGAGTTACCAAGGTTCTCCTGGCCGGGAGGATACTGCCTGAGCGAGACGAATGTACAGATACAGAACTCAGAGTCTGGACCATCTTCCCTCAGAGAAAGAGAAAGTGGTCTTTGCAGTCAGGTCGAAAGACTACCATACTGTTCTAGAGGCGACTTATGTCTCTCAACACTGAATCTGGTGAGAGAGAAACAGCACTATGTGAATGAAGCCTCTTTAGAAAATGCATAGAACCCATCCCAGAAATTCCATTGTGCTTAAAACAGCGTCTCTGTGTGGCAGAACTTCATTTGGAGCTTAAATGTCTTCTTAATTGCACAGCCAACAACGCTAAACATTTGCAAAACATTCCTTTATTATAAATAAATTATTTGTATAAAAATTAGCATGCTTCAACCATCGCATTTACAGATTCACAACCCAGGGCAACAATCCTGTTAACCAATACAAGGGACGAACTCATCTCATTATGCATATCAGACAGTGAGACAAGAATTTAAAATCTTCACAACCACAAAAATACTAACAAGTAGAATAACAACAAACATGGTTGACTGTATCTTTTTTTTATAATTATCATCACAGGTCTCTTCTCCTTTTTAATGTTTTTTTATAAATCTTGCTTTGTTGGTCTTTTTTTGCATGTTGGTTTTTTTACTTCATATCACCACCTTCTCGATTTTTAGATTCAGCCTCTAGTTTATTTTATTTACTTATTCATCTACCCGTCCGCCAAGGGCTGGGCAGTGAAGGCCCCTCCCTCACTCTGCCCTTAGTTCAAAGCCGGACAGCAGAAAATGGCTCATGCTTGGGTCCCAATGGGCAATTCCCGTCGTCTTGGAACGTCTCCAGTCGGCATGTGTTCTGGTGCATCATGCGAGTCCTCTCCCTCTAGTTCTCTTCAGTTGGCGTGATTGCTATAGCTGACATATGTTGTCTTGGTTGATGAAGCTGTCGAGGGAAAATCGGAGGGATAATTACTTTCCTTTTCACCAAACAGATTCATTTTACAATTTCCTAACATTTTGGGCCCATTAGATACAGAATAGGTTCCTTTAAACAACTGATGGCGGCTGTTACAATCTACTTTTAAACCTCAGCGATGTGTCAATAATCACTACACGTTTTTATGTCATTTTAATAATAACCTTGAAATTCTCAGTTTCTAGTGTCATAATTAACACAACGTTTTTTTTCTTTGCATCTTGGAATCCAAATTAATTTCTGCCTGTATAAAAGGAGCATACTTGATGGCAGAGAGCCCTGTATAAAAGGAGCATACTTGATGGCAGAGAGCCCTGTATAAAAGGAGCATACTTGATGTCACAGAGCGATGTATAAAAGGAGCATACTT